GACACAACACGACCTCTAGGCAGTAGAGCGACTCTGAGTGGAAGTCTAAGAGATGCCATTACCTACGTTGCAGGTAGTCTTGATGTGCTAAGTGATGCACTTGTACTGATTACTTATCTACAAAAAGAAATGAGGGGGTGAGTCTCACAGACTCAGTGATCATCAACTTCGTGAGTAAGGGGTAGATGGGAAACAAGATAAAGGCAGAAGATTTGAATATTAAAAATATGAGAGTATATGTAAACAAATTAACTCAAAAAGGGAGGTTTGTGCCTTACATGTGAAACTAGTAAGCTAATGCAAGATAGTCATTTAAATAAAAGATTTAACCAATTCATATAAAGATTTCTGCCATCAAAATCATTTAGCAACTGGCTTAAAGCAATTTAAAAATCACCACGTGAGCTCTCGTACAATCCATCATTTACAAAATTTATATGCAAATCCATAAAACATCTCATACGGGAGGAATTAAATCCACTGTCATCGTACAAGTAAGGGAGCTGCGAAAAAACCGTTATTTCTCACCATGCGAAAAACCATGTGCGTAAAAACCCATAGAGATATCACTCTCGAGTAAGAATAAAAATAAAGAACACGTGGACCCGTTTCCACATAATAACATCTTGGAGCTTCACTCCACCAGATCCCCACATGCCATGGCAGTCTCAACAATGTTGGCCAACATTAGAGAAATCAGACGGTCGCAACCGCGTATCACAACTTGTGGCCTAGCCACGTACAATCACAGATCATGGCCTCAGTCATGTCTAACAGCCCGTCGGTGACCCAAGGATTCCCTAGTTAAAGCTCACTTGTGCACAAGGGTCACACTTAACGGAAGTGACAATCGCCTACTCTCAAATCTTCTAGTTTGATAAAACCATTTAAAAATATAGTTGGGTTCTCAAAAGTTCATTTCAAAGTCATTTCCAAAATGTTCACATAGTAACATGAAAAGATTCCTTATAAGACTTTAAAATATAAACTCTTTGCATGAGGTTGAAAGATCATTTAGCATAATGGATATGTGTTTCAATCATGAATGTACATCACACAAACTATAAGACACATACATGACATAAATCATATTAAAAAGCTTATTTCTCGATTTTAAAAAACTTTACGTATATATATAGGTTATATGTATATATATTAAGCCATTTCCAAAGTCATACCATCCACAATTTCCTAGCAATTCTACCATCTCATGCTTTCCACAAATTTGCATTTAAAATAAATCAACACGTATTTATATATACATATATGTATTTAAGGATATTTTAAAATAGACACCCCCTGCTCACCTCATAATAGTGGGACGCTACATCGCTATTGAGTTGAGCTTGTATCTAACTAATTCTTACTTGCCGATCACTTGTTACCTCCTCCGGCACGCCACCACAACAACTTTACTTACTTATTTTCTCCCTAGCAACCATTCAACCCAATACATGTAATTATACACACAAATGGTAGCACATCAACCAATAATCCTTAACCAAATCTCTTAGTTCTCATCACATTATTTACACGCATTTATCACACAATCCATACACTTAACCAACCAAAGCTTATGCAACATAATATAGTCACATTGCATGCTCACCTCTCGGTTTAAGCTTGAATTTTCAAATTTAATTCACAACTCCCTCACATCTAAGGTCACCTTTGCTGCCACAAACATAGTCAATCAATACACATCACATTTTTCCTTTCTACTTAAAATTTCAAGACTAAAACACTTACCCATTTCTTATTTAGCTCCAAAATCACCATGC